GATATCTCCAGCGTGTGGAGCACTGTGTAGCTTTGTGGTTAACAACAAAGAAACAAAAACAAGCTGCTGAATGTGGGGACTTTCAATATAAACAGCCACTGATCGATATCCCCTGTGAGTAGAGCACTGTGTAGCTTTGTGGTTAACAACAAAGAAACAAAAACAATCTGCTGAATGTGGGGACTTTCAATATAAACAGCCACTGATCGATATCCCCTGTGAGTAGAGCACTGTGTAGCTTTGTGGTTAACAATAAACAAACAAAAACAATCTGCTGAATGTGGGGACTTTCAATATAAACAGCCACTGATCGATATCCCCGGCGTGTAGAGCACTGTGTAGCTTTGTGGTTAACAATAAACAAACAGAAACAATCTGCTGAATGTGGGGACTTTCAACTTAAACAGCCACTGACCATTCTGCGAAAATGATTTTCGTATTTCAAATTTCCAGTTTGTACTGAATGCATTCACTTACTGGAGGAGACTCTTTTGTGTTACAATACGGGACATGGGGTGAAAACACTGTTGTGTTATAGTACAAGGTATGTGATGGGAACACTGTTGTGTTACAGTACAGGGCATGTGGTGGAGACACAGTTGTGTTACAGTACAGGACATGTGGTGGGAACACTGTTGTGTTACAGTACAGGGCATGTGGTGGAGACACAGTTGTGTTACAGTACAGGGCATGTGGTGGAGACACAGTTGTGTTACAGTACAGGACATGTGGTGGGAACACTGTTGTGTTACAGTACAGGACATGTGGTGGGAACACTGTTGTGTTACAGTACAGGACATGTGGTGGGAACACTGTTGTGTTACAGTACAGGGCATGTGGTGGGAACACTGTTGTGTTACAGTACAGGGCATGTGGTGGGAACACTGTTGTGTTACAGTACAGAGCATGTGGTGGAAACACTGTTGTGTTACAGTACATGGTATGTTGTGGGAACACTGTTGTGTTACAGTACAGGGCATGTGGTGGAGACATAGTTGTGTTACAGTGGGGGCATTCGGTGGAGACACAGTTGTGTTACAGTGGGGGCATTCGGTGGAGACACAGTTGTGTTATAGTATGGGGCATGTGGTGGAGACACTGTTGTGTTATAGTATGGGGCATGTGGTGGAGACACTGTTGTGTTATAGTATGGGGCATGTGGTGGAGACACTGTTGTGTTATAGTATGGGGCATGTGGTGGAGACATAGTTGTGTTAGAGTACGGGGCGTGTGGTGGAGACACAGTTGTGTTATAGTATGGGACATGTGGTGGAGACATAGTTGTGTTACAGTACGGGGCGTGTGGTGGAGACATAGTTGTGTTACAGTACGGGGCATGTGGTTGAGACATTGTTATGTTACAGTACGGGGCATGTGGTGGAGACTCTGTTGTGTTACAGTACGGGGCATGTGGTGGAGACATAGTTGTGTTACAGTACGGGGCGTGTGGTGGAGACATAGTTGTGTTACAGTACGGAGCATGTGGTTGAGACACTGTTATGTTACAGTACGGGGCATGTGGTGGAGGCACTGTTGTGTTACAGTACGGGGCATGTGGTGGAGACTCTGTTGTGTTACAGTACGGGGCATGTGGTGGAGACACTGTTGTGTTACAGTACGGGGCATGTGGTGGAGACTCTGTTGTGTTACAGTACGTTTCATCGTAGCATCGTTTCATAATCCTTTTTGCAAGTATCACTTGCCTAACTGATAGCTTATTTTCGTTGTTTTGGCATAAACTTTAATGTACTATTAGTCATGTTTTATTTCCACTGTGTTGTTTTATCATTATTGTAATAAATTTAAAAATGGAGCATGTGTTTCTGTGTCACTGAAAACACATAGGAGACAAATCGGTGCAGTTTGACCTTAAGTCAGTCCCGTAGGCTTAACTTCAAAATAAGGAATACGTATATATATATATATATATAAGTATAAAAATGCGAAGGTGGTAAAATAAAATAAATTTGACTTCTGGAGAAAACAAATCACCTTTAAAAACTATGGTAATAATTTATCAACTTGGAGACGTTTCGAACAAACGCTCTTTTTCAAGCCAGAAACAAGCCTGTTTGCGAGCTTAGAGAAAAGTCAGTTTGTAATTCTACATATTAATTTACCTACGTTATGAGTCTTAAACAACAGCTGGTAACTTACTTATAACTATCGTGCTGTGTGATTAACAGCTGATAACTTACCTATAATTAACTTGTAAGACGTAAATAAAGACTTTTGTTTAACTTGTATGAATTGATTACCAGCTGGTAACTTATGTAATATAAAGAGTTGAGGTTAACTCACTTGTAAAATAAGGACGCTTAATTAATTTGTACGATGTTGACAAATGACATATGTCGTACACATGAAATGGAAGAACAATAGATTATTCTTGTACGAGTAATAACAATTAACTCAAGCATAACGCGAATTTTAACTTCTGTGAATGATCTAATTAACAATGGTTAATTTAATTTTGTTTAAGTAATCCTAGTTAGCTTCTTTATATAACCAAAGTAATATTATTTAACTTCTGTGAACGATCTAATTAACAATGGTTAACTTAATTTTATTTAAGTAACCCTAGTCAGCTTCTTTATATAACCAAAGTAATATTGTTTAACTTCTGTAAACGATCTAATTAACAACGGTTAATTTAATTTTGTTTTTAAGTAACCCTAGTCAGCTTCTTTATATAACCAAAGTAACGTTATTGGACTTCTTTGTACGATTGAAGTGACGACGGTTAATGTCTTTGTCCTAAATAACGACTGTTACCTTCTTTATGTGATCTAATTAAGTAACGACGATTAACTCCTTTGTGTGATCTGATTTAGTAACGACGATTAACTCCTTTGTGTGATCTGATTTAGTAACGACGATTAACTCCTTTTTGTAATCTGACTAAGTAACGACGATTAACTCCTTTGTGTATCTGACTAAGTAACGACGATTAACTCCTTTGTGTGATCTGATTTAGTAACGACGATTAACCCCTTTTTGTAATCTGACTAAGTAACGACGATTAACTCCTTTGTGTGATCTAATTAAGTAACGATTGTTAACTCCTTTATGTGATCTAATTAAGTAACGACGATTAACTCCTTTGTGTAATCTGACTAAGTGACGACGGTTAACTCCTTTGTGTGATCTGGTTTAGTAACGACGATTAACTCCTTTGTGTGATCTGACTAAGTGACGACGGTTAACTTTTTTTGTGTAATTTAATTAACTTATGACGGTTGACTTCTTTGTTTGATCTAATTACGTACCGATGGTTACTTTTTTGTGTAATTTAATTAACTTATGACGGTTGACTTCTTTGTTTGATCTAATTACGTACCGATGGTTACTTT